AAGCTAAATCCAGGTCATTTCACTTTTCTTCTCAAAAATTCTCCTGTGCCCTTTAATTTCTTTCAGAGTAAAATCATGAGTTCTTATGACCTACTATGTTCTGATGTCAAACATCCCACATTTTCTCATCCCCTGCTATTTTTCTGGCCTCCTTGCAGTTCCTCAAACATTTCAAATGCACGTCTGCCTCAGGACCTTTGCAGTTCCGTTCTTTCATTGAAAAGGATCTTTACCAAGATAGACTTTTTGCTAGCTCTCTCCCCTCACTGAAATCTTTGCTTATATATTACCACATCAGAGAGGCCTTTCTTGGTCACCTGCAGGAACAGCGTCTGTCACCTCTGTCCTTACTCTGTCCTTATTTTTTTTTTCCTTTTTATCATCACCTCCCAATGTAGTATCATTTTTTACTACTTGTTTATAGTCTTTGTGCCCCTCCCCCGCCCCAGATTTAAGCTGTATAAGACTAGGGACTTTGCTTTTGTTCACAAATGTAGTCCACTGCTGACAACAGTGTCCTAGTAGGTGCTCAGGAAATGTTCGTTGTTAAGTAAATGTTTTTTCATGCTTTACACAGTTTTTCCTTTTGTTATGTGAATGTTAACAAATAAATTCCACGTATTTGGAGGTAGGTCATTTGTGAGATTACCACCCAGCCAGTCTTTATCAAGGATTTTCTTTGTACAGAACATAGTACATTTTAACTCCTTCATTTGGGGCTTAGGTGTTAAGGTTTATATGTAATGTTACTGTGGGGCCTTTGCTCAATGCCATGTAATCAGGGATCTCTCCCCATCAGAGTGATGAGATAAGCCAGAGCCCTTTTGTGGAAATGCTCATTTCATGGCCTGCAAGTAAAGCAACACCAGCTCCCCAAACTGCATTCTGTGTACATAGTTACGGGTCTTCTGGAGGATCTCAGATCCTGAGATGGAAGATGAACAGACACAAGGAGAGGTTCTCTAAATGATGCCTCCGCAGAGCCACAGCCTCTGCCTGAAGAATGTGTGCTGGTCACACTGGTGAACGTGATGCTCACAAAAGGCAGATCAGACATCGTGTCCAGAATTCTGTATTGTGCAAATGGCCTGGAGTCTGGTGTCCTTTGGATCCACGTTTTCCAAAGCCCAGTTGTGAGTTGTTGAACAGAACAACTCAGGTCATTTTTAAATTCAAGAAGGCATGTTTAGTACAGGTGACAACATGAGAGATGCTTTACCACCTGAAGTTACGACGTTCAGTATCTGATTCTTGAATGCCTGCCACGCAGTATTTCGTGTCCATCTTTTTTTTTTTTAAGATTTTATTTATTCATTTGATAGATAGAAATCACAAGTAAGCAGAGAGGCAGGCGGGGGGAGGGGGAAGCAGGCTCCCTGGTGAGCAGAGAGCCCGATGCGATGCGGGGCTCAATCCCAGGACTCTGGGATCATGACCTGAGCCGAAGGCAGAGGCTTTAACCCACTGAGCCACCCAGGTGCCCCGTGGTGTCCATCTTTCCAGTATACCATGATGCTACGTTAAGTAGCCTTCCTACTCTGAGTCAGGCCCCTAAATTATTTTGTAAGGACCAGATTACCTAAGCAAGCTATTCCAGTAGAGGAGGAAAAAAAGATGCACGTTATTTCCAGGGATTGTTGTTTAAAAAAACACACTGGGGTGCGCCTGGTGGCTCAGTCGGTTAGATGTCTGCCTGCAGCTCATGTAGTGATCCCAGGGTCCTGGGATCAAGGCTCCCCCGGCAAACCCCCCACCTCTGCCCAACCGCCAATCAGGCTCCCTGCTTGGCGGGGAGCCTGCTTCTCCTTCTCCCTCTCCCTCTGCAGCTCCCTCTGCCTAAGTGCTCACTCTCTCTCAAATAAATAAAATATTTAAAAAAAAAATAAAATTAAAAAAGCAAGCTGAATAAGGACAAAACAACAGCTTTGCTTTCTGGCCTAATTATTTTCACGTTGGGATTCCAAACTGGAAGACCAGGGCACTTGCCTGCACCTGTGGTTGTGAAAGTCCAGGTTGTTTCCAGGTGGGAATCTTTATAATGGCAAAGTTTTGAGCTTAAGCAACTTGTACAATTTGTTCTGCCCAAAATACTTCCTGTAGAAGGGCGACTATATTCCCAAGCTGTTCACTGTAATATTACCATGAGTAGGGAGGAAAATGGATTAATTTAGTTATTGTTTACTGTGTTTTTGGTGACTTCTTTAAGGATGTACCTAGATGACACTTGGGGGTATTTCTTTACTTTGACACATACCTTAAATTATTCCTTTTTAAATTCTTGGCAAGTAGCTAGACCTGTAAGTTTGTCTTAGTTTCGATAGGTGATCTTGCTTAAGCTTTAGAATAATATCTAAAATTTTACACCATATTATATTGTGAACTTCCTGGTGTCATTAATTTTCCAGACCGCAGCAGTGGAAGGGGGCCCCGAAGCAATTCTGCAGTGCCGTGCACACTGAGGAGTTGTGTTACCCAAGTCACGCAGCAGATCTGTGCGTCCCTCCTGTGTGCTAGGGACAGCTCTGAGCATTGGCCATATGATGGTGAATAAGACCATGGCTGCATAGAGCTGATACTCTAGAAATCACTACTGTCCAGTGATTGGGTTTAGTTTTCTGTTCCATTCCGCATTTCTTTTTTTTTCTTTTTAAGATTTTATTTATTTATTTGACAGAGATCACAAGTAGGCAGAGAGGCAGGCAGAGAGAGAGAGGAAGCGGGGCTTGATCCCAGGACTCTGTGATCATGACCTGAACCGAAGGCAGATGCTTAACCCACTGAGCCACCCAGGTGCCCCGTGCTCCACGCATTTCTGACACCTGAACCATACTGAACAGCTTTGCAGTTGCCCGAGGACCTTGTGCTCTCTCTCCTTTTCTATGCTCCCAACTGTTCTCATTACCCAAAATGTTCTTCCTTTGTTTGTTTACCTAGCAAAGTCCTCCACTTTATTTAAGACTTTGCTCTAAAGTATTTCATCTTTGAATCCTTTGCATTCTCTGCTAGACCACATTAACTGCCTTGATTTTAAGCCATTGGCGGAAATAAAAAACCTTTCCAGAACAGAATTTAAGTTTCTTCATTGGAAAAACATAGCTAGACTTGGGATTCCTAGGCATGTGTCTCTTGCCTCCACCTCCGGAGCTAGGAGGTTCCCCAGGCTCTCTGGATGGCTTAGCTGAATGGTGAGTGAACTTATGGCACCATCAAGTGGTTCATCTGGGCAGTGCCACTTAATTCTTCTGCAGGAGGCTAATAGTCCAACTTATGCCATGTATCTACAGAGAGAGGGAGGGTGATCATATCAAGATGTAATTGGAAGGTATAATTATCAGACCATCTTCATCCTGAGACACTCAGAACTTTACAGAACCCTCAGTGGCTCGTGATCCATAGATGGAAATGGGGTTTTAAATCTTCACTTTTCTTATAACCAGGAAACCTGAGACAGAGATGTGACACGGCTTGCTTGTGTTCCTTCATTATTCCAGATGGTGCATAGGCATATGCTTTCCTTTGTTTTGTTTGCCCCTCAGCTTGGCAAACGGTTTTCTTTCTTCACCCATTGTTAGAGTCTCAGTGAACTCTTCATGTCATACTGTATCCTGGCCACATGGCTTTAAAATTAAAGACCTTTTTGACAAAGTATTTTTGCTCAGTAAGTGGGGGGTTGCATGGATAGGGGTAAATTCTCAAAAACCAAGAGTTACCTAATCACAGGTGGCCCAGGTATTGAGGTACTTGGGGGACATTAATTAACTTAGTGCGGGTTTGTGGCTGCCAGCACATAATAGAAAGATGGAGAAGGACTGTGTTTAGGCCCTTGGGCCCTTGGTTCTTACCAAGCAGGCTGGACTTTCAGCTCCCATGTTAATGAGGGTGGATTATATTCCTTGACTCATACTTGGAGTGGGAAAAATTCAAAAACCAAAAAGCAAAAACCCCAAAGAGACATGGGAACATTCCTTCCAGCTCTCAGCAGGAAGGAAACACCTCGTCTGGAACATATCTCAATTTTATTTCTACCTCTAGTGAAGTTTTTTATTTTGACCACCAGGTTTTAGATCCTCTTCTTTAACAGAAACATCACTGTCCTCAATACCCTTTCCTCTCATGCACACGTGGGAAACAGAATACATTCACTCTTTGATGAATGATAGCCCAACTTACTTCAAACTGCAGAAGGAACCTCTTGTGTCGTGAGTCAGGACCCGTTGTAGTAGGGTCTCCTCATGTTCTATGTTGAATCCTATCCAAATGTGTCAAGCCTGAGCAATAAAGAACTTGACGCTAGTTAAGTCCTTCTGACAGGTCATGTTCAAATCTGTCCTCCCACGCCCTCCCCTCAGGGGTCTCCCGGTTACCCAGGCTGTTTCCATGTGGTTTTAGGGTCTCCCTCCACAACGAAGAAAGGAAAAAAAAAAAAAAAAGGTGTGCTGGGGGAAGATCCTATCCTATCAGCAGCAAAGTTTATAAGACTCAGACACAGTGGTAAGAAACTAGGAAAGGAAGAGTCGTAGCTAAATTCTGAGAGGGGAAATGCTTATTTTTTAGAGGCCCCAAAGCTGATAGAACTATCTTAATGAACCACAAATTAGAAGGAAAATGAGCATTATCTCTTTGGGAGGATAAAATGTCAAAAACCTTCGTGGTGGTTTTGTAACAATATTCAGTTTAGTCGAGAGTGGAAAGAGTGTCCTTTCCAGAACCACCACTCTCCAGGTTTAAGTGCCTTCTTTTTAAAAGGTACAAAAAGGTCTGTTTCTGCTTATTTTTAATACTCTCTCAGTCTCAAATTGTTTCGTTGATAGACTGCCATATTATAGTTGATTTTATGCCGTCATGTACTCTCTCAAGCTGACTTTAGATCTCACCAAAATGTTTCTATGTTTCTGCCACTAAGAGCAATCAAGCAATTCTCAGTTTGTGGTCTAACTAATCAAGAGCATGTTTTTTGTTTTTGTTCTTGTGGTGGGGCGGATGGCGTGTTGCCCTTCTAGAGTGTTCTGCCGTACTACGTAGCTACAAAGCTGTCGAAAATCCGAAAGCCAACTCTGGATAAACCATCTGCGGAGACGTATGTGAAGTCTGCACTGAAAACAGTGGGTTTGCAGTCCCGAACCACCGGATACCCGGTCCATTCTCTTATGGTATGTGGCCTTGCAAGTCTCCAATCAGCCCTTTGGTTTGGAGTTTTCTTTCCTGCTGGGTCACAAAATAGCATGTGGTGTGGTAGCATCTATACATTGTCTAGACTTACTAATGAGGCATCTATGTTTTATTTTAAACACCCAAGAACTTTAAAATTGACCAACAAAACAATAGAGTAAAATATCAGATCAGATGCTCTCATTTAGCCCAAATTGTAGGCTGTCGTGACATATCTCCCCATTTCTCTCCCTAGGACTCCGTAATTTCAGTCCTGCCTACCTGGCTGTATTTTAAAATGACCATGAATTTTGGCAAGTCCACGCGGGCTCGCTATATGAAGAAAAACAAGAAGAACTAAGCACTGGTAATTCGCTGAGTAGGTTGGCCCAGTGTGCCAGTCTAAGTGTCTTTACAGCAAGGCACCCACCCGTCTCCAAAGTCTACGGTTGTCATTTGACCAGTTACTAATAAGGCTAAATGTTGTCATAATTGAGACGAAAGTAGAAGTTGTGTTCAGGAGTTCTGGACATACATTTTGAATACTGCCAGGAGTTATTTTGAAATTTAATGTAAATGCTCCTATCAAATGGACATAGAACTAATAATACTAACAAGAACAGTGTCATGGGAAGAAACATGATTTTGGCATATCACAGAATGACAGAGCCAGACATAACATTTCAGTGGTTTCCTCTGGCCCGGATGGTGATGGTTTTTGTATTTTCTCCGAATTATACTTTAAAAAGTAATGGCGAGCTCCATTTTTTTTTTTTTTAAACACTGGAGGGAGTGGAGATTCATTGTTTCACTTATAGGAGGACACACTGTAATAAGCATTGCTATGAGGTTTTCTAAAAGTATGTCCCAATGTGTATATTTCTGTGGAACTTTTTGTTCTCAAAGGTAGCTAATGACGTAAAAATAATACAGGAAACATGAAGTTCCTTTTGACACATGGAGCCCACTAATATATGCTTTCCTCTAATACATATTTCTTCTCAGTTTAAATGCATGTAAATACTGAAAGCTATATGGTATGATTTATAAAGGTAAATGGGCCAAAAAATACATTGAGATGAGCAGCCAACTATCGTGCCGCTACAACCCTGACCCAGGAGAGTGGCCTGCTTGGACCCCAGCCTCCTTTGTCTCTGCACTGCAGCAGTCCTGTTTCCATGTGTGACCACAAGCTATTCCTAAAACAGTAATGGTAACAGAGAAGTGACCTTAGACTTTGAAATCGATACCCTGTAGATAGCAGTCTGACTAGTTTTAATAAAAGATGATATAACCACAGTGATGACTGTAAATGTATTTCTTTGGTGCTTGAAATTAAGGCTGTTTTTACACTGGCTTACTATAAATTAAGACTTACTTTTATCCTGCTCCATAACTTGAGGGAAATCACCAAGAGATAATTCAATATTGTGAAACATGTAACACAGAAGGTAGGTCTTTATGAAGGCTGTGGTTCCTAAGCTCTGAGTTTTAAGCACCGGGAGATTTGTTTAAAAAAAAAAAAAAAAAAAAGTAATTGCCGTGTTTAGGTGTTGAGGCGTTTCTACCCTTTAGTTTTGCTAGCTAAGGATGTAAAACAAAAATAGGAAGATCCAAAGTACTATCTGCTCTTAGCATCATTACATAGGAGAAAAGACATTTTAGCATCCAAAAAGTAAGAACATAATCTCAGAATCATTTAAACTGACTTTTGAAATATGATTTTGAAATTGATTTTGAAATGAAAATAAACTTAGTTTTATGAAAAACACATTGCCTTTTTCTTTCTCATTTTGTTGCTGAAATGGTGAAACCACAGTGACCTGAGCGATACTTTGTTTGCTTTCACACATTGGCTCGTTGATTATTGCGGGTGGTAGTTTTCAGTGGATTGGTAGCGTGGGGAGGGATCGATGTACAAGCATACAAAATATGTTCCCTTCCATCCAAGTTAGAAAACAGTTGTACTCTGACCAAATCCTGTAGCAGTCTCCAAACTTCTGAGCTCTAGCTCTTACTACTTCAACTTGGGTTGTGTCCTCTTGTATTTGACACCCAAGACTGAAGATAAGGGAATGAAACTCTGTTTCTAGGCACAGGAAAAAATTCATTGAAAAAGAACCCAGGTACTCCAAACTATCAAAATAGTGGAGCACAGTTTTTAGACTTAACTTTGTATCAACTTGATGTTATAGTCCTATGTGTGCTAGATTAAGGTTGGAACCTAAGAGAGTAGAGTAAAAGAGAAACTGATTCATGTAGAATCAACTCATTTCACAACACAGTGAGCTAGATTTTAATTTCTTGTTCTTTCATGGTTTCTGGCAGTAGCATGGGGGGAACACGAGAGGAACTGTCTTGCACATGTAATGACATTGCCATTCTGTGTTGTCTTTGTGCCAGTCCCCCATGCGCTGGGAGTAAATACAGATGTTATGACTGTTCTCAATTTTCTCAAATGTGGTCCTGCCCTAAATAGATGATTTCCTCTCATTGGATCATTTATTGTATTGAAATATGACAGAACTGAACTTTATATGGGGTGAACATCAGTGGTGACACCAGACAAATGGTGCTGATGCCATGTAGAAGAGGAGATTTATTGTGATACCTTATGAGAATGCAATAAACTTAAGTTGTACTCTAATTTTTTAAACTCTATTGATACCAAGTTATCTGAGATTTAGGTGGTCCTGGATTCTGCTGCTTTGATCTGTAGTTACAGTGTCAGAGGAAATTGTCAAAGCTCTTTATTGAATATGTTGGAAACTAATCCAATTAAAAAATGTTTAAGGGCTCACTACTTTGTACTTTGATACTCACTTCATGATGAAAACTATACATGTGGACAGAATTTAAATTCCCTCTTGGAATGTAATTCTTTCTGTAGAGGTTTATGTAGCAATATCTAGAAATGAAACATTGTGTCCAGCATGAACACAAACATATTAAATGAAACCATGTTAACGTGATGATGGCATATTACAACTTTGCACTCTCCTTTTACCTGTGTCTGAAAAGCCAGTGAAATGGGTACTACAAATGATAATCCTAAAAGGATATAAGGCAAACTTGTCTTCCTTACTACAAAAGTTTCTAGATATAGCATTGTGTACATTTATTGAGTGCTAACCACATGCTGTTTACTCTTCTGGGAAGGAAGAAGAAACTACAGTGAAAAAGGGACCAAAGATTTTTGCCTCCGTAGAGCTTACATTTGAGCTGGGGGAAGGTGAGGCAAGCAAAGGAGGGAGACAGGTTAAAAAAGAAGAAAGAAAAACATAGCATAAGTGCTTTATGCTATGCAGTGAGGGGTGCGGAATGAAGCTAGGTAAGGAGGATGGGGAATCAATGTGTGTAGGGTAAGAGTGGGAGGCTTGTATACTCATAGTGGGTGTGGAGAGAGGTTTTGAACTGTCTTGGGGAAGCCTTTCGGCTATGTGGGAGAAGGCAGACCAGCCTGAGCAAAGAACCCAAGGAGACTGCATGCCTGGTATATTCCAAAATGGCTAGGAGTACATACATATTGAAGTACATACTGCATGAAGTCTAAAGATTTCAGCGATCTTGTTTAGTTTAGTTATGACTTTTTAGTATGAAATCTCCTTACATTCTTGGTCATAATTCACTATCTTTGTACTGCTGAATTCAATTTGCTGGTATTTTATTTGGAATTTTTGCATCTATATTTAGGAAATTGGTTTGCAGTCTTTTTCATATTTGTCTGGCTTTCATATTAATATTATAACTTCATTAAATGAGCTGGGAATTGTTGCTTATTTTACTATGCCCTGGAAGACTAAAAGATTGGAGCAGTCTTTTTCCTTGAAGTTTATAAAACCATCTGGCCATGGTATTTATCTTTGGGACGATTTTTAACTCCTGGTGATGTTGTTCTAATGGTAATAAGACTACTCAAGCATTCAATTTTTTCTTGAGTCAATTTTGAAAAAAAAATTCTAAGCACTGACTCGTTTTTTTTTTCCCAGCATAATGTGTATTATTAGCATAATGTGACTTGAGGAATCTTTGATTTTTTTTTAAGCCTTCTTTTTCCTTTCCCAATATTCCTTGTGTTTTCTCACTTTCTTTCCCTTGACCATTTTGCTAGAAATTTATCACCTTTATTAGTTTTTAAAGAAGCAACTTTTGGGGGCGCCTGGGTGGCTCAGTGGGTTAAGCCTCTGCTTTTGGCTCAGGTCATGATCTCAGGGTCGTGGGATCAAGCCCTGCATCGGCCCTCTGCTCAGCAGGGAGCCTGCTTCCCCCTCTCTCTCTGCCTGCTTCTCTGCCTACTTGTGATCTCTCTCTCTCTCTCTCTCTGTCAAATAAAGAAAGAAAATCCTTAAGTTAAAAAAAAAAAGAAAGAAACTTTTGGCTTTATCGATCCTTTCGGCCCTTCTCACTATATGTTCTCCTGATTTCTGGCAATTTATTCTGTTATTTTTCTTATTTCACAAACTGAACATTTCATCCATGTTTTAACATTTTTTCTATTCTGACAAACATTTATTGCTCTAAGTTTAATTATCTTTTGCTACATCCCACAATTCAGGAGTGTGTGTGTGTGTGTATGTGTGTACATAAACATGCGCATACACACATTCTTTTTCAGTGCTAATATTTAAAAATTTATAACTTTGACCTCTTACCTGTTTAGAAACATTTTTTAAAGCACAAATTCAAATTTTTATAAATGCTATTTCCTTTTTAAAATGCTTGTGTTGGGGCACCTGGGTGGCTCAGTGGGTTAAGCCTCTGCCTTTGGCTCAGGTCATGATCTCAGGGTCCTGGGATGGAGCCCCACATCAGGCTCTCTGCTCAGGGGGGAGCCTGCTTCCCTCCCCCCTCTGCCTACCTCTCTGCCTACTTGTAATCTCTCTCTGTGTCAAATAAGTAAATAAAATCTTAAAAAATAAAATAAAATGCTTGTGTTGGTATCACCATTAATAAGGCAATTTTATATTTTGTATATTGTGTTATCGTGGACTGAAGATTATGTAGTATTCCTGCCAAAAATGTATAATCTGAACCTAATCACACTTGATCTTTGCCAAAAGGCCAAGAATCAATAACATGAACCTAATCAAAAAGAAATATCAGAAAAATCTAAATTGAAAGATATCCTACAAAATAACCAACTTAAATTTGTCAAAAGTTTCAGATTAAAGAAAACTAAAGAAACATGACAAGTAAATGTTACATGATCTCAGATTGAATCTTAATTAAAAATGAGATTTTTGAGACAATGGGTAAGATTTGAGTAAGGTCTGTAGGTTAGATAATAGCATCGTATCAATGTTAATTTCCTGAGTTTGATTATTGTACTGTGGTTATTCAAGAAAAAGCTCTTGAATTTTAGGAAATACACACTAGAGTATTTAGGGATAATGGGACATTATCTATGC